TCTGATTTTGTCCTGTCTCTCACTGCCCCTTCTTCTTCTCCACAGGCTGAGACACCACACTGAAGGGAAAAAATGGACAGGGACTGAACTGGGAAGAGACAAAAGTATGTTGAAATTGGCTCTGACACACCCAGAGATAAGATCACGCCATCAAGAAAAAGACGCAGTTCCATCTGTCGGCGAGCAACCTGCTCACAAACTGGGACAAAGAGCTTCCTTCCAAAGGTTTGATAAAGACTTTCCAAAGCAACCAGGTTCCAAACACAGCACTTCAGGAGAAATGCCCAAATCTTCAGGGTGTTTTACCATGGAATGCACAACACAGTAAAACCAAGTCAGACTCTACATCTATCTACTTCTCTGACGCTACTTACTCCAGCGGGAGCTTGGCCCATGTCTGGCAGAAAGTTCTTGCTGTTACTATTTTTAAAATTAAATGTGTGAATGAAAACTACAACATAATTCACTTTACAGTGTAAGGATTCAGGTGTTACCACTGGAAAAACCTCTTATTTTGTATTCCCAGGATTCATTACATCCTTTAAAAGTGTGCTTACTATTCATGAAGATCATACCTACGCACAGATGATCAAAGAAATTCTGCAATTTCCTTTGACCGCAGCTGTTTTCCCATCTGCCATACTGGGTAGCTGACTCTACCAAAGGTGTCCCTACACCACCCCCAGACATGCCCTTCTTTAGTGCCTGCTGGCTCACAGGTCTCCCTCAGAGCTGGCTGGCCCAGTTTTCACTGGATTCCCATACAGCAGCTTTTTAGTTTATAATTTATCTTCCGTGCTTAAATGTTACTCATCCAACTTAAACGTTATAATATAATACAACATAAATTATTTCTTACGAGCAAAGGTGCTCTCATTTATATTAGTGAGTCCATAAAGTTGCTCTATTAATAATAATACCTACATTTTTAAGTAATCTTCCCTGTCAATAACGTTTTCTATTCATTTCAAGGTCTAGAGTTTAGCTTCCTCAGAAGACCTCATTTGGATGACCAAGCACCAAGCACATAATTGCATGGAGTACTGAGTGCTTTTTATGGGTGCTGGGCAGGCAGCCATGCCCCACTAACTATGAACACAGGTGAGGCAGCTTAGCACAGCACCTAGCATATAATAGGCACTCAAAGAAGTTAATGCTCTTTCCCTAACTTCTTTTTCCTCTGTTTATTTTAGATCTTCAGGCTTCGAGAGGCCCTTGCTTCTTATCATTCAGCAAATCTCAATGCTGTTGTAGACTCTTAAGATTTACAACTCAGGCAAGAAATTACACTCTAGGCCAAGATGCACAGCCCATTCAGTTCAGCCTATTCTAAACTCGCTTGGTTTAGAAAATACTGAAATTGTTGCAGAACAAACAGCCCCAATTTATAAACTGCATTCCCAAAGTTCATTTTTAAAGTGGCATAAACATTTTTCCTAAGAAAACATGATGTCATATATAAGATCTCGAGCTGTCCCCACAAACTTATGCCACTATCTACCTAGCTGGCTTAACTAGTGGCAGGAGCCTAGATCCAGCCCACGCCTTGTCCACGGCAGGCTCTGGGATGTGCTGGGCTCAGTTCTGAATTCCTGCAAAGGTGCACCGCTGGCTCCAGAGAAAATGTTGATCCAACTGAGTTTGTGTATATCTTTCTCCCACCTCGCTGTATGCACCCCTGCCCTCAGCTCATAGGCCTCTCTTCTGCAGGAGACCAGTGCCCTCACCTTGTCCTACAAATCCCAAACTTCAGCATCTTACCAGAGCTCCATCTTTTAATGCTTCAAAGGCAATTGCTTTTTCTCCCTGCAAAAATTACCTCGAGCAGCTAATCTCAGCTGTGCATCAGGAAGAAAACTGATTATTTCACAATGAAATGTGAATGCCTCATGGCCTTTAACCTGTCCAGAGACCTCTGACTCTTAACTGCCCAAACAAATCTAATTTTGAGGAAGGACCATGGAAGGAATGAGATACACCTACGCGACAGACAGATCCCACTAAGGGCCTGTTTCTGAGACATTTCTGCTTCTCAAAAAGCAACTTCCTTCTCTTCCACCACTTGGAAAAGGAACAAATTTTCACAAGTTCCAAAACTTCCAAAAGTTTCCATGACAATGGTAGACATGTGTTTATGGTGATGAACAGAGTGCACACAGGGCCAGTGTAGATGGGTCCTAGCTTCGTCAGTGTTTTTCCCAAAGTGGAATGTAAACCAAAGCATTCACGATTCAACCCAAAACATCCTCAAACTATCATCATTTCCAAATGGAGAAGCAGAAGCTACAGGTAAGATTCAGATGTTGACACTGGGCCAGATTTTCAGTTTTACTCATCCTGGCATGGCCAAAAGAGTACATTAGAGATCACTAAGAGGGGAGGGGAGGAAATGCCACATAGCTCCAATAAACCCTTATGTTTGTGAGGAAGAAAGAACTGGAAGTCACATTAACAAATACCACATAAATACGTACAATTATTATGTGCCAAGTATAAATCTTAAAATTAAAAAAATCGACAAATGTATCCTAAATGAGAACAAGAAAGTACATATTTTCAGAAAATAGTAAAAACAACAACAAAAATAACACAACTATACAGGATTCTGCAAGTATACTTGTTCACTCTTGCTGCCCTGAGGCATTAATTACTTTAAGAACAAAAACAGAAAACACCAAGTTGGCCAGGGAAAGCAAAAACCCTCGATACTTAATTAGAACACGCGCTTGAAGTTGCTGCCTGATATTAGCTTCAAAAGCCCGTAGCCTCATTAAGAAATGGCACAACACCCTTCTGGCGGCAGGCAAAGGCTTCAAATCACGTCAGTGCTGGGGGTCTAAAAGGGGAAATGAAACTGAGTTTACCTACATCAATTAGCAATGCTATTAAGGCTACTTAAGCCACTCCTCCAACAATATTTCTAATACAAATACGCTGCAGGCCTTCAGAATAAAACAAGCCATTATCCCTACCCGTCATCTTGGCTTTCATTACTCCCACCCCAAAGAGTGACACATCAAACAAACAAAGCACCCTGCCCATGCACTGGGCTTTTCGGCCAAGATCTCCACGCCTCTGACAAGCGCTTATTAATCCTGACAACACCCAATAAAGAAGAGCTGGCCACTCTAACCTTGTGACTCTCCTGGGGGATCAAGGGGAAAGGACTGAGGTAGTGAACTGAGGGACTGACCCAAGGTCATGGATAAGTTGGAAAAGGGAACTCAGGACTTACGGGCTCTTTATCACCTCCTCCACAATTTCTCAGTGAGGCCCCAATGGCAAATAGAAGTAACACTCCAGTTTGCTTTAAGAATAAAAGCATCCTGGGGCACAAGGCCAACACTTTTTATAGGCTGTTCTTAGTAGCCAGTGGACTGAGTCCTATTATGATATTTAATTTCAAAACAACCGTAAACAATTATATAAAATGGAAAGTTTATCTATTTATTGCTTAGCCAAGCAACAAACTCTGGACTATGCAGCCACCTGACAATTGTATGTGACTGAGGTGGTTGGCAGGAAAACCCACCTAAAGCTACAATTACCTAAGCTTCCTTACTGCCTGGTGGGCCCAACTGTCTAGAGTCTGCAGTCTGAAAGGCACATGTTTGTCTTGGACATGATGACAATGATAAGAAAGAAAAGCAATTATAATACAAGCTTAACGTGACTCTCAAGACCCAGTCACGTGATTTTCGAAAGCATTCTTGGGGAGGATAAAATGAAACCCTAATAGTCAGCGCCTAATACAGTACCTTATTCTTAAAGTTACTAAAATTCTCATTGAATACATAAAAGAAAAAGTAAAAAACAGAGAGTTAAAAAGGACAAGAAGATGAACATAACTTCTTTCTACCAGGTCTCTGAGAGAATGCTATACCTAATATTGTAACGAAAACTAAAGATCAGCCTTCTGTTAACAACTGTCTGAAAAATGACCTATGTTTCTATTGAGTTTTGTGGTTTTTTTTCTCTTTTTCTTTTTTTTTGGGACAGGGTCTCACTCTGTTGCCTAGGCTGGAGAGCAGTGGCGTGATCTCAGCTCACTGTAACCCCCGCCTCCTGGGTTCAAGATTCTCCTGCCTCAATCTCCAGAGTAGCTGGGATTAGAGGCATATGCCACCATGCCTGGCAACTTTTTGTAGTTTTAGTAGAGACAGTGTTTCACCATGTTGGCCAGTTTCACCAAATTCTTGGCCTCAAGTGATCCACCCGCCGCAGCCTCCCAAAGTGCTGGGATTACAGGTGTGAACCACCACTTCTGGCCTCTATTCAGTTTCTTGAGTTCCCAGTTTTTAAAGTAATCCAAAGAAAGAAATACAGGAACTCTAATAATTGAGTGAAGAGAAGGATCACACTCACAGGGAAGAAGGCAGAGGAAAGGCAGAAGGGACTTAAGAATATGATGAATTTTTCTTAAAGGGCACAAAAAGTCTCATTAGAGTCACCCAGATGGAGTAATTCTAGCCAATTAGAGTTACTCCATCTGAATTGGAGGCAATTCTTCAACGGGAAGAGCACAAGACAGAAGAATCTTAACACGGAATCATATTTATAAGGTGATGATATGAAACAGAGTACTACTAATAATCACTTATATTTAAGAGCCTTTCTCAAAGACACTCCAACAGTTTGATGGGCATTGTTTCATTACTCCTTACACTTCCTTGAATAGAGGGAGGAGACAGAAAGCACCTCCACTGTGCAAATGAGGAAATGAGGCAAAGTGAATGGGGAGTCAGACTCAAGGCTGAACAGGCAGGAGTGGCAGACTGTAACTTAATCGCAATGTTTCACACAGTGGACTCCAAGCAAAGGATGGCAACAAAAATGATCTGTTTTGGAGGAGGGGAGAATAGAAAGGGGAGAGGATAGTTTCATAACACCTGAGAATGAAAACACATAAAACTGTGGAAAAAAAAAATCAGTTGTCAAATCATTAAACTCCTCCCATTCTCAAATGGCTGGACATAAGGCGCCCAGACCTCACCACCCACCTTTGCTTCATCGTTGATGTCCCACGTGAAGGAAATGGCGTTATATGCAATCTCCTCGATGTTACTGATAGTGTTGAAGCTTTCTTTATAGTCAGCTATAGGAAGCAGGGGAAGAGAAAATGAAAACTCATGAGTTTCAGTTTCAACATGGGATCCCAGCAGTTCAAAATAAGATCTATTTTTTAACATTATCACCTATGGACAACTTAACATTTTGTTTGGTTAGAAGAAGTTCAAAATATGAAGAAAAAGCATCACAGAGTTTTTGTAATAGAGGCAAGCTTAGACATATTTAATTCAATCTCATTATGTCACAATTAGGAAATTTAGGTCTAAAAAGTTTAAATAACAGTCCCAAGGTCACAAAACTACTCTGTAGAACCATGATTAGAACTGAGTTCTCATTCTCCTGAAAAGGCAACAAGAGCATTACAAAAGGTAAAGGAAAAATAACACTAATATTAACAGCCATCTGTGATACAGACAATGGTTTTACATGAAAATAACATACATGGCAAGGATAGAGGTCTGTGTAACGCTACTTCAGTAAATACGAACTTGCACAGGTTTGCCACTACAGCTCACAGATAGGTTAGTTACACAGTTTAGCATATCTAGGGAAGACTGTTAGGCAACCGCACAGCAGCAGTATCTTTTTTTATTTATTTTCTTTTACTTGCTTTTTTTCTCTATCTCCATCATGTCCAAATAATCAGAATCTATTAAAGAAGATATTACCCCTTAAAGCAATTGCAGACTGAAAAGTGGGGACATTCTCAGGTTAGCCAGCTACATGGCTTCTGGCCCTAGTGTCCTGTGGAAAGCCACCACGTGGGCACATGTCCCATTACTGCATGGGAGGAATGGTGAGTGCACTGGTTCCAGGAGGCCGAGGACAGTGTTTGGAACAGATCAGTAGCTGGCATAAAAATTCAAATGCTTTCGGCAGGAAGCTGATCACTGCCAAAAATAACTGGATTTAGAAACTGGATGGCTGTACCTCTGGGAATAAGAGCGGGCTCTTGAGCTGCTTACCTATGTCAATGCATCTTTGTTTAGCAGTGTGCTGCCGGGAGTGCCAGTACTTCCAATGCCTTAACTGATCTTCTCTGCTTTTGTCTTCAGCAAAAACCACCATGATCACACTCTGTGAAAGAGAATGCATTACAACATAAAGACACTGAAGGGTGAGTATGTCTTGGAAAACGTATTTAATATTATATTTTACAGGGAAGGCTTAAAGCTGCAATTTCAGGCGGTCATTCAGAGCTGCTTCAGACCTGGAAATGTTAGACTCTGACTAGCTTTCCTAGAGAACAGGACTAAGATCAGAACTTACTCGAACTTTGCTGATGGGATGATGGATTCCTTCATTGCTGCTCACCTCCTTTAAGGTGATAGGATAGAACTGGCCTTTGTTCAGGTATGTCATGGTACTATCTCCCGGCTTCTGTCGAAGTGATTTTGAAGCTTCTAGGGTATATTCAAAGTTGTTCCTAAAGGACAAAAAAAGTCACAGGTCTCTAAATCTACTCTCGTGGAAGTTTGCTATACATCATATTACAAATAACATTTGCTATCTTTTTCATGATAAAGAAAATCTGAAACAAAAGTACTCAGCAGCTGAAAATTCTCAAGTCTCTCAGATGTGGAAGTACAAATTGTTGCCGATTAAAAATTTTATGATGTGATGGATGTTAGCAATCGGACATCCTGAGTTTGAGGGCTCGAGATATTAAAGATACTAACAGGTGGAAAGGACTTTGGAAGGAACTTCTCACAAGACATGCTGCCAATCTGGTATTTCTCCAGCAGAGGTTTCAGACAGGTGGCTGGTGTTCCTTTGATTAAATTCCTTTTGGCCTATATAGCACTTTTTTGTTGTTTCTACTTGTAATTTAAATGTCTTTAATAGCAGGCACTCCTCAATTCTCGACATTACCTATTACCTAACACTACCACTCATATGTGCCCCTAAAGTTATTTAAGAACCTTCCCAGGCCACGGCTCAGCAGATTACACCTATTTTTGTAACTAAAGTTTTATTAGCACATAGCCACATCATTTGTTTACATATTACCTATGGCTGCTTTTGCACAGCAGCAGACCAGGGTAGTTGCGAAAACATACAGAGGTTGTATGGTCCACAAAGCCTGAAATATTTACTCTCTGACTCTTTACAGAAAAAGTTAGCTGACCCCTATCCCAAACCCTAAAGGCATTTCCGTTTGGGACTCCTGCATCTTGAGGCAGATCTCTAAGGGAAGTCTCAATTCCCATAAAATCTTAGACACTTTTAAAACCATAAAATATAACACATGTAAAAAACACATAAAATAAAATATGAGTTCCTAATTAACTTGGAAAATATTCATATTGCCAGAGATATGATTTTGTGAGGTCAAAAGCAAGTTGTCAGCTCAGAAAAAAGTTGACTTCATTTATTTTATCGTTAGTGAGGCTGATAAAAAAAAACAAGCTTTTATCACTTTTTTATCACTTGATATTCTTCCTAAATTCTCACCTAATTATATATTTTTGGCAACAGAAAGGACCTCAGAGACCTAATTTAATCCCGTCATCTCTCCTATTAGATTCCATTCTACTACCATCACATAAAGAAACCAAAAGAAAGAAAAAGCACCAACACCAAGAATTAAGGAAACTTGAAATATAGTTTAAAGAGTTCAAAATTAAAAGCACTGAAGCAGATGTCCTCTACCCAAGACTATACCACAGTAAAAGTAGTAAGATAAGGGGAAAGCCTGCTAAAGCCACCTTTGATTTATTAAGTTAACGTGAAAGGAGTAAGTTATAAAAGCTGCAAATTAAAAATCAAATTAAAAGACATCTATTACCCAGAAACACTGTCAAAAACATAGTCCTCTGAATTCATGCCAGGCATCCGCAGACTGAGATCCGAGGGGAAGAAAACCTGAAATATCAATGTGATAAGCCACAACTATTTAACTGGTTATCATGGTAACTAAAGACCAAGCTCTGGTACCGCATAAAAGTATGTGGCTTACAGCAACCCACTATCCTTTCCATATTTATTTTTGAATAAAAATTTTGAAGCTACAAATATTAAAAAAATTAAAACAGAGAAAATATCCACTTTTATATGCCACTCAAGTAAATGACAACAAGCTGTGTAGGTATCCCCACTAAGTGCTTCTGACTCACGACCCCCTTTTCTGTCTTTCACACACATCCCAACTCTGTTCAAACACTAGGATCTGCAACCAAAATGTCATGACTTTAAAGAGTCACCCTATCATTATATCAAGTTAAGACGCAGCATCAAGTTCACACCACAGCTGAAGAGATGTGGTGCATTTTCTTGGGAAAGGCTAACATTCTGCCCCAACTCCACATGCAGAGATGGATGCTCTTTACCTCATCGAGTCATTAAGTATGGTTTCTAACACCTTCAGTCCCTAACTTTTAGCTGAGTGAGGTATTCATCACCATAGAACCCCTAGAACTATTTGGAATTAATCTGTAAACTTCACACAATGCATTTGAGCTCTCCCTGACTGTATTACCAACCAAGAAACATCAAGCAAAGACATAATAACTCATTTATATTAAGACCAGTTCCAGGGAGCTTGTTTGGCGCTGGGAGAAGTGCTGAAAACAGACTATGAGAATCTACCTGTGGTCAACAGAAGATTATGTATGGGGTTCTCTTTCTCTTTCTCCAGCAAATCACTTAGCTGAAATCATAATTGTTAACTCAGCTGCTGGTAAGATTAGCCATGCACCCTTGATAACAACTTCTGGTTTTATAGGTTTAGCTTCCAAATTATACCCATCGGCCTTTTCTCTTAAAAAAAAAAAAAAAAATCTTTTATTCCTAATCCATTCATTTCAGGCCGAGTTTCACGCTTACATAACAAGGAAAAGGTGGAACCCAATACTTATACAAACACACAGGCGTCTTAGGAAGATGTTTGTTTCCTGTACCTCCTGAACGCCTTCCTTGAAGGTCTCTGAGAAGGTCGAGTCTGGAGTTCGCCTTTGAGCATTTGGGGCTTGAGCACCAGAGCTGAACTGGTCAGTACTGAGATTCCGATCGAAAACCACCACCCGCTCAGTGGGCTCAGGATGATACACTGCTGGGGGGATTCCCACAGCAAAGCCATGCGGCTGGGTTTCTGTCTTGATGGAGTGGGTAGGCATCGTTGCTATGGAGACAGTGACTGTCGTATCTGGAGCTGTCAGATGGCCTCTCTTATCAATGCCCAGCTGGTTGCCATGGGGAAGGACAATGTTAAACGGCACATTTTTCAGTACTTGCACTCTGTTTTCTCCAGCAGAAATGAGGGGCTGCTCTGTCACAATTGGTATGCTGTTTCTTTAAGAAAAGAAAACTGCTTTCAAACTCGATGTTGATGTAGTTCTTTGACAATTTTTATTTTCCTAATGGCACTGGGCTATTGGGTCCTGTGCAATAACAATACACTTGACAGGGAATAAACAGAAAACATCAAAACTACCCATTACTAGATAAAGGGGAAAAGGCTTTCTGGTTATCGGTCAAATAAAATCCAACATATTAAGTAAAATTTCATTTGAAATACTAAGTACTCAGAGCTCTCCTCTAACAAGCTTTACTTTCCATAATCCTAAAAAAAAAAATTACTATGTTTTACTAGAAATCTGAAGCTATGTGATCTGATCAACTGGGGTTACAGCATAGACGCCAGGGTCAAATTGCCTGGGTTCAAGTTCTGTGTCACCTGAGCAAGTTACTTCATCTTTTAGTAACTGAATCCTCATCTGTAAAATGGGGACAATAATGGCGTGCATTCTCATCAGGTTGAGATGAGATGATACACTCAAATGTGTATAATAAGGCCTGACACAAAGTCTTCAAGAAGTATGAGCCATTATTACTTGTGGTCACCACTTTTCCAACCACCTATGATATTTGGCTTTCTCCTTATTTTTTTTTCTTTCTTTTTGAGACAGAGTCTTGCCCTTGTGGCCCAGGCTGGTGTGCAATGGCATGATTTTGGCTCACTACAACCTCCACCTCCCAGGTTCAAGCAGTTCTTCTGCCTCAGCCTCGCAAGTAGCTGGGATTACAGGCGCGTGCCACCACATTCGGCTCATTTTTGTATTTTTAGTAAAGACTAGGTTTCACCATGTTGGCCAGGCTGGTCTCGAACTCCTGACCTAAGGTGATCCACCTGCCTCAGCCTCCCAAAGTGCTGGGATTATAGGCGTGAGCCACCGCACCCGGCCTGGCTTTCTCTTTCACCCAAGAAAACCTATTGTTACATTATATCAGTAGACACATCTGCTTTTTATAAAATTAAATTTTGGTTTGATAAATAATTTGAGCAATACAAGATGATTTCCAGTGGGTAAAATGAACGAATTTTCAAAGCCCCCAGAAATCTTACAGGCTGAAGCTTTAAGAAACAGGCAAATGGGGAATTCTGTACATTCCAAGATCAATAAAACTGTTTGAACCCTGAACCATAAATTCACTCCCAGGAATTTATCCTAAAACGGAAAAAAATCTAGAAAGTTGCTCCTTAAGGCTTCAAAATAGTGAAAACTAGGTTTAGCGGCAATTATAAGGATATTTAGAGTTTGCTTCAGAATGTTCCAGCAAAAATAAATAAAATAAAAACATGAATTAATCTCAAAGTTGAAGAAGAGGGAAGAATACATCAAACGAGGAATTGTGTTGATAACTGTTGAAGCTGGTCAAGGATACACGTGGGCTTATACTATTTCTCTATTTTTATTATGTTTGAAAATGCCCATAATGAAAAGTTAAAAAGCCACAAGTCCTCTTCCAAAGGATAATTATGAAGATTAAAACACAGAGAAAATGTTTATGAAACAAACTAAGAAGAAGAAAGTATACCATCAAATCCTATCTGTGAACAAAACCACAGGTACATAAAATTTGCATGCATACCAAAACAAAGAATAAAGCAATCATCAGGATAATGGGATACTGGGTGATGATCATTCTTCCTTTAAATAGGTTTTATTCCTTGATTGATAATAAAACACAGGGCAATTTAAAAGGTGTCTTTTTAAAGTTTTTCATGGCTACAAAGACAAACGTTAATTAAATTTCCTGAAAGTTTTAATCTAAAATATTTCACAAATAATTTCAACAGGAATTTGAATACAATTTAACTTGCTTTATTCAATTTTACTTAGGCAGCTGTTCAAGAGTCAATTGGTATTTAATTTTTTTAATGGACCACTGCCACATCTCCTAAAGAAAACCTCAAAAACAAATAAACAAATACTTAAGTTATTACTAAAACTATCCCTTTGGAAGAGGAGAAAGTTAGTGCTTTCATCCTAGAAAAGGCAACTACTGTGCCCAAAGAAAAAGGGAACTTTTCAGAGCAACAGAGGCAAATCAGTGATGAAATCTGAATTTAGATAGTAAGAGTCCAGCTTACCTATCCCTTCTACTAGTTGTTGTTCATTTAAACAAACTCCCATTTTGCTGTTACAGAAACGTGGCATTTCCCCCTGCACTCTTTATGCTGTTTATGCACTGAATGTTACCTTTTGCTGTGATCTGGTTCGGGGTGCTCCACCTCTGGCTTTGCTGTTGATGACCTTCTCTCTCTTGGAACCTGATATTAGCACACATGAAAATAATTTAGCTCTTATTCAGTGAAGTGCAGTTTACCCAAAGATACAGCCTTTTATTTTTCAGTAAATTCAATCATTCATTTATCTACTGGTTGCCTAACAAACACCAGGCTATGGGGACACACGAAGAAAAAGACAGTATCTGCCCTCAATGAGCTTAAAATCTAGTCACCCATCTGGTTGATATGTAAAAAGTAACTGTTATTGAGTTGCCAAATAAACTCAGGGCATGATACATTTATTCTGTCATGGAGTTTGGGTCTCATCTCTTAAAAGAAATACCTCCACTGGCCGAAGCTGGTGGCTCATGTCTATAATCCCAGCCACTTCGGGAGGCCAAGGTGGGAGGACTGTTTGAGCCCGGGAGTTTGAGACCAGCCTGGGTAATATAGTGAAACTCATTTCTACAAAAAAAAAAAATTAAAAATTAGCTGGGCGTGGTGGCATGTGCCTACAGTCTCAGCTACATAAGAGAGACTGTGGTGAGATCGCTTCAGCCCGGAGGCAGAGGTTACAGAGAGCAGAGATTGCGCCACTGCACTCCGGCCTGGGCGACAGAGCAAGACCCTTCCTGACTCAAAAACAAAAAGAAAAAAAGAAATACCTCTGCCCTGGTTTTACCGGTTCATCTACACAACATTAGAGAAGAAGCTACTGAAAACACAACAGAGCTCTTCCAACTTTCTCAGTGCTCTTTCCTACTACTCTCCATTCAGATCAAATGCAAAAGCAGAAGGAACAGCCATGTTAACCATTCATTTCTTCTAAGATCCAAATGAGGGCTTCATATGATCACTGTCTTTAGATATGCTGGGATTCATACATCCATCACCCAAAGGACAAGTCTAACTCAGTGTTCTGTTCCTTTTTTGGTTCTTTTCTTTGCAAGGGAAGTGAAAAGTAGGCAAACGTTAGTGTCCTGTAGAAATAACTCAACTGAGATTTTACACCATTGCACGCTCCAAAATGGCTAAGGTGCTTAAAAATGGCTTTCAGCATGAAAATTCTATTCGTGTATCCTTGTTTTCACCATTAAAGACAAAACACTGCTGGCCAGGCGCGGTGGCTCACACATGTAATCCTAGCACTTTGGGAGGCCGAGGCGGGCAGATCATGAGGTCAAGGGATCAAGACCATCCTGGCCAACACGGTGAAACCCCGTCTCTACTAAAAATACAAAAAATTAGCCGGGCGTGGTGGCGCACGCCTGTAGTCCCAGCTACAGCCTCCTGTAGGCAGGAGGCTGAGGCAAGAGAATCACTTGAACCCAGGAGGCAGAGGTTGCAGTGAGTTGAGATTATGCCACTGTACTCCAGCCTGGGCGACAGAGCGAGACTCCATATAAAACAAAAAACAAAAAACAAAAAAAACCAACCAAACAAAAAACAAACAAAAAAACCACTGCTTCATGTATTAACAATATGCTTTTCAAGCTTTATGAAAATTATTATGTAATAATGACTGATGCTTACAATCAAAAACCTGAAACAAACAATTCAGTTTATATAAAAAAGAAAATAGTCCAGGCACAGTGGCTCACGTCTGTAATCCTAACACTTTGGGAGGCTAAGGCAGGAAGATTACCTGAGGCCAGGAATTTGAGACCAGCCTGGGCAACATAGTGAGACTCCGTCTCTACAAAAAATTTTAAAATTAGCCAGGCATGACCTGTAGTCCTAGTTACTCAAGAAGCTGAGGCAGGAGAATCACTCAACCTCAGGAGGTTGAGGTTGCAGCGAGCTATGACAGCACCATTACACTCCAGCCTGAGTAAGAATGAGACTCTGCTGCTAAAAATACTACTACTACTAAATGAAAAATTAAAAAGAAGAAGAAGAAGAGAAAATAAATTTACACCTATCACAAGAAGTCTGACAAATAAGTACCACTAAAATTGTCACCCTTCCCAGACAGATGTGAGGATTTATTTGCTTATGAGACACAGGAGTAGTATACCTAGTGTTATTACACTGGTCTTTCTGGCACGAAACTTGTACCAACAAGTTTCTCCCATTCTCAAAAGTTTCAGTTAAAAATGTGTAACTTCATAATAAATGTTTTAGAAACTTAATTTATAGTAAGTCAATAAAACAAGCTATAAGAACAGATATATAATAATTTCCATTTCAAAGGAACTCTTCATGGCTATGTTTCCCTGGTAAGGGTTTCTTCTAGCATCATTAGTTATTACACAAGTTTCTGTTCATATTCAAAGAAAAAAGAGCTTACCTCAATCCCTAGTTCCAACTTAGTTAGACACATGGCCCCATACTAGGAAATAATCACCCTTTTTTTTTTTTTTTTTTTTGAGATAGGGTCTGTCTCTGTCACCCAGGCTGGAGTGTAGGGATATGGCATGATCTCAGCTCACTGTAGCCTCCAACTCCCAGGCTTAAGTGATCCTCCCACCTCAGTCTCCTAAGTAGCTGAGACTACAGGCATGCGTGTATTAACCAGCGAATTTCTGTATTTATTTATTTATTTATTTATTTATTTATTTATTTATTTATTTTTGGGTAGAGACAGGGTCTCGTCATGTTGCTCAGGCTAATCACCCTAGTTTTAATAATAAAACTATCTCCTAGGCTTCTTTCACCTCTGTATTTCTTACATTAAGGAAAGAATACAGTGCCAGAATGTAGCCAATGGCCAGCAACTGGCGAGTCTGGGTAAAGGTATTCGAGAATTAATTATCCTCTTAAGTTTTATGTAGGTTTGAAAGTTTTTAAAACAAAAATATAGCAAAAATAAACTGTAAAAAATATACACTATATTCATGAGAAGACGCTTGTCATTCAGAAACTTCTGGTAATCCCAAACAGATCCTGTTTTCATACAGGTACTGATGACAACACAATGATTACACAAGTTAGTCACAGAGTGACAATGAGACAAAGGCCCCACGGCAAAGCTGTGCTTCAACGTAGTCTGCTGTTTTAAGTAGCACCCTAAAGACGTAGTCACCCCCAAATGTGTGTTCCTGGTCAGAAGGAAGAATGGAGAGGTGAATCCAGAAGAAAAGCAGTACGCACCCTGCATTAGAAAGACAGTGGCCTCGGCCATGAACCAGACTAGGACCCCAGATGCACACATTCTAGCTATGACCTCTGAGTGTGAAGTCGCACACAGGCTGGTAACATGTCTAGCGTAACAGTGACAGCTAGTGTTATCAGGACAATGATGATGATGACACAGATCAGTAGTGTCATTTCCAGATAATGAAAACCATGTAAAATTCCATGCAGCGTATAGATTATATTTAATTAAGACTACTCCAAATCTCTAGAAACAGGCAACAAAACATATCCTGATCTTGGAACTAGACAGTCCTAGACTAGAGAATATGGTTTCAAAGGCTCTGTAGTATCATTTCGGGAAAGGAAATCATCTTGACTACACAGGAATAAAGGTGAAAGGTAAATGAGCCCTGCCCACTTTCCATGGCACTAAGAACCACCTTCAGTGAGATGCTCAAACCCAAGAAGGCACATCTAGCATCCTCTTTTATGGTGGTTTCACCTTCTGGATACAGCCACAGCAGCGGACTGCTTTGCATGTTTTAAAAACAACCCTTTGATTCTACAATCACAGATTTTTAGCTTTGAACCACAGTAAGTCAAAGTACTCATTAAACTATTTATAGTCACTACAGAAGCAGCTTGCATGGCATTCTACCAGCAAATGACTGTTTTATATGCTGCTGAATCAAGTGCATTGGAGACTGCTGTTAAGGGTTTTAAAGGCAGGCAAACCCACCTTGTAGTAGTCATAGAGCAGGCCCAGCGCAGCAGCGCTGTCTTCGTCTCCATTGATGCTCATCATCGCTTTGGTGGCTGCAGTGAGAGGGTTTTCCAGGAAGGATTTCCAGGCCTCATCCTCACTAGTGTAGGACCGCCGCTGTGGATAAAGTGCTTCATTCTGAAGAACCAACACTGGCCGTTTGCTTCAGAGAAATTAAAAAAACAAAAACAAAAAAACACATACTTTTCTACTGCAAGGCATCATAAGCTACCAATTCCTTGACATTCCTATAAAACAGCCTATTGTTTCATCAACGACCCTAGGAAGTTAAATTAAGACAAGACCAGAAGACAAACCACCTAAGTGCAGACCAGTGGGTCCCACAGTAAGACATAAAGTGTCTAGGCAGCCAGAGAACTGGCAGTTCACTTACACATGGAACCCAGGATACACAATTTGGCAAAAAAGCAAAACAAAACCATCCCTGAGAAAATGCCACGCTATTCAAATACTTTCCATAAACAAACAGGAGGACACAGTAAGGAAAAGAGAATATCTGTTCTCTTCCAACAACAATCAGGACGGTCCCCTCTTGAGAAGAGCGTGTGCCGTTCATCACACTGCTACGTTTTTCCCTCTTTCTATTGCCTTTCTTTCTGCCTTAAAACTTCCTACCTGAACACAGTGGGGAGGGGAGAAGCAGCAGAAAGAAAAAGGGATACTTCACGCAATCCTTGGGGGTATATGAGAAAGCCAGAATATTCTACTGATTACCAGCAGATTGAGCATGGAATGTGGCCAAAGGGGACTGTAAATCAATAAAGAGGCAGAATTTTCTGGCATGGGAGTTAACTGTTTATCTTAGAGATAAACACTTAAGAATCTCCAACAATAAATGAAGCCACTGAACAAAAAGATTTAAAAAAAAAATAGGTGGGAAAATCTGGCTTTTAAAAAGTCTTTACTAGTTTTCCACACTGCACAAGAACTGTTTCATTTTAACACTGTAGTTTGGTGGGAAAAATCCAAAAAAATCAATGGCGATCTTAGTGAAACCTTACAGAAGATTTAATTTAAAAGATTAAAGCAAACATTACTAATTCCAAAAACCTGAAATGTAAACAGTCTCAACAACTGTTCAGTTGGTACTATTTAATAAGTCAATAAAGAGAAAAAATGGAACACTGACTCTAGCAAAACAAAGCAGTTTATTTTCAAGGAGAAAAATAAATTTTAAACGTTTGGAACTCCTCTGAATTATTACTATTCTAACAGGCAAATTGAAGGACTGGCTCTCATTGCAACACACAAATGAAATATGTAAATGGCCTAAAGGTGACCTACCTATTTTAAAAGTGAATGTAGAAAGACTGATTATCTTTTCAAGTAATCAACAAAGGTTAGGGTTTGGGAATCACCCAAGGCCTTTAAAAACAGATAGATTTAGAAAAAGGAGAACATCTTCAAAAAAGGGGGAAAAATCCAACAATGTGTCCTCAGTCAAAATGAAGTGTTATTTGAAAGCCAATGTTTTTACTCACTCATGGCATAAATCTTACATTTGGTAAGGAAGTCTTGAGGTGGTATACTATTTTAACACAAAACAAACATAAAAGGCTGTTCAAAGCGAGCAGATCATTTGTCTAAAAATGGAGATTGCTTACGCAAATCTCAACTTTTAAGAAAATAAAGAAATATACAAAGTGGCATTCCCTGAGCCATCAGTACCAGAGTGCAACAGCTACTGAACGGGTGGTGCCATGGACTGATTTACTGGTGTATTGCTAAGCTATAATTAATAGCGTAATAGCTACCTCCAGAAGACTATGACAGCACTTGGCTGTTCAATTCCCTTAATGCTAGTTTTCAACTTCCTCCTTCTCCCACCCACATCCCAAATTTGTACAAGCAATAGAAAATAGAGAAATGGCTTTATGTTTGGAATCACCCTGAAGCTGTTTCATATTTCCAAAGCCTGCCTAAGGCCAAAATGTTAGCTTTGGAAATTTTGCCTCATCTAAACTATACGTCAAGAAATAAACACAAAACCAGTTGCCTTTGTCTACTTCCTCATGACAGTCAGGAAGGAGGCTTCAGTCGCTGAAGGCTCATCATTACTTTCAGGTGAGCCTTAAACCTTGCGTCAGCGATCTCTCAGACTTCTGAAATATGTTTCAGGCAATAATTTAACTGCATATTCTACAACACAAGAGTAATCCATTTAAGATACTGCATACAAAATATCTATCTCATCCAGAAAAAGAACACACTGACAAAAACCGATCCTTCACAAATAACTAACAAACTGGCAGGGGAACCTATCTGCCTTAAACTTACTGATCTGAAATATACTGACTGACTTGGTGCGATTTCCCTTTTTTTTTCCTTTAGTGAGTTTTTAAAAAATTTTAGAACAATTTTATATTTTCAGAAAAGCTGCAAATACAGAAATATCTCTCGCCCAGTTAATCCCCCATGCTTTATTACATTACCACCTTATATTTGTCGAAATGTGCTTTTAAATCACAAACTCTAAAAGGCATATTAGCTTGTACAGTACTTTCTCGTTTAACACCCGGATTTCAAAGTTTCATCCTCCTGATTCTCTCGAGCACTAAAAACACGGTAATCTGTAATTATCATCAATGATGCAAGTGGCAAAATAACTCCTACAGACGTTTTCCCACTCATACCGCCAGCCAGTGAAAAGTAAACGCCTGGACATCGGGGCACTTCAACCTTCCCCTACATTTCTGTTTTGAAAGTTCCAGCAGGTCGCCGAGTGACGAGCCTGAGACCACAGATTACCTGAAGAAGTCCACCTGTCCCGACGCGGCGAGCTCCCCACCGGGCTCCCGAGGCCGACCCGGCAGGAGACTGGGGCGGGGAGGCCCG